AAGTAAACACTCATGTTTCATGGCTAAAATGAAACAAACATAAAATGGTAATTCGATGGTAATGTATTTGATACTGATATCAAAGGTCGTGTTTGGACCTTAAGTTTGAAATGTTTCTGCCGTGTTTTCAGACCAGCAACGTTTTGATAACGATTGTAATCATGTTTGTCAAATGTATACCTGCTTATTCAGTGTGGTTTTACGCCGCTTTTAGCAATAGTCCCGCGGGGACGCCAGAAATTGGGCTTCACACATTGTACCCGAGTGGGGAATCGAACACGGGTCTTCGGCGTGACGAGCCAACGCTTTAACTACTATGCTATCCCACCGACCCTACACATAGAGAAGAACACTAAGTATATGGTAGCGGTGATTAGGCACGATCACCTGCTTGACTCAGGTGACATAGCAATGCTTCTTTAAAGGTTTTGGCGACATGTATGTGTGGGTGTGTGAAATGTAGATGAAGTAAACAGAGCTACGTTGGGTGTGTCCATGGGAGAGTGTGCGTACCTGTGGGGAGCATCGGTGTGGGTGTGGGTGTGTGGGTGTGGGTGTGGGTGTGTGGCGGGGGGGGGGGGGGGGTGTATATGGATTTGGCTATGTGGGGTTAGGGGGGTTGGAGATTTTGTGGAGGAGAAATTACGATGGCGCCTGTATGTTGGACAGCAAATTATGAATTATGTGAACGATTTTCTATGCGATTCTGCGAACTTTTCAATAATGTCGGTGTATTTGCAATTACTGGTGACATCTATGTCGGTGTTTCTTCACTTACTGGCGACATCTATGTCGGTGTTTCTTCACTTACTGGTGACATCTATGTCGGTGTGTCTACACTTACTGGTGACATCTATGTCGGTGTTTCTTCACTTACTTGGGACATCTATGTCGGTGTTTCTTCACTTACTGGTGACATCTATGTCGGTGTGTCTACACTTACTGGTGACATCTATGTCGGTGTGTCTACACTTACTGGTGACATCTATGTCGGTGTTTCTTCACTTACTGAGGACGTCTATGTCGGTGTGTCTTCACTTACTGAGGACGTCTATGTCGGTGTGGCTTCACTTACTGAGGACGTCTATGTCGGTGTGTCTTCAATTACTGGAGACGTCTATGTCGGTGTGTCTACAGTTACTGGAGACATCTATGTCGGTGTGTCTACAGTTACTGGTGACGTCTATGTCGGTGTTTCTTCACTTACTGGCGACATCTATGTCGGTGTTTCTTCACTTACTTGGGACATCTATGTCGGTGTTTCTTCACTTACTGGTGACATCTATGTCGGTGTTTCTTCACTTACTGGTGACATCTATGTCGGTGTGTCTACACTTACTGGTGACATCTATGTCGGTGTTTCTTCACTTACTTGGGACATCTATGTCGGTGTTTCTTCACTTACTGGTGACATCTATGTCGGTGTGTCTACACTTACTGGTGACATCTATGTCGGTGTGTCTACACTTACTGGTGACATCTATGTCGGTGTTTCTTCACTTACTTGGGACATCTATGTCGGTGTTTCTTCACTTACTGAGGACGTCTATGTCGACGTGTCTACACTTACTGAGGACGTCTATGTCGACGTGTCTACACTTACTGAGGACGTCTATGTCGATGTGTCTTCACTTACTGGAGACGTCTATGTCGGTGTGTCTTCACTTACTGAGGACGTCTATGTCGGTGTGTCTTCAATTACTGGAGACGTCTATGTCGGTGTGTCTACACTTACTGGTGACGTCTATGTCGGTGTGTCTACAGTTACTGGAGACGTCTATGTCGGTGTGTCTTCACTTACTGAGGACGTCTATGTCGGTGTGTCTTCAATTACTGGAGACGTCTATGTCGGTGTGTCTACACTTACTGGTGACGTCTATGTCGGTGTGTCTACAGTTACTGGAGACGTCTATGTCGGTGTGTCTTCAATTACTGGAGACGTCTATGTCGATGTGTCTTCACTTACTGAGGACGTCTATGTCGGTTTGTCTACAGTTACTGGAGACGTCTATGTCGGTGTGTCTACAGTTACTGGAGACGTCTATGTCGGTGTGTCTACAGTTACTGGAGACGTCTATGTCGGTGTGTCTTCACTTACTGAGGACGTCTATGTCGGTGTGTCTTCAATTACTGGAGACGTCTATGTCGATGTGTCTTCACTTACTGAGGACGTCTATGTCGGTGTGTCTTCAATTACTGGAGACGTCTATGTCGGTGTGTCTACAGTTACTGGAGACGTCTATGTCGGTGTGTCTACAGTTACTGGAGACGTCTATGTCGGTGTGTCTACAGTTACTGGAGACGTCTATGTCGGTGTGTCTTCACTTACTGAGGACGTCTATGTCGGTGTGTCTTCAATTACTGAGGACGTCTATGTCGGTGTGTCTTCAATTACTGGAGACGTCTATGTCGGTGTGTCTACAGTTACTGGAGACGTCTATGTCGGTGTGTCTACAGTTACTGGAGACGTCTATGTCGGTGTGTCTACAGTTACTGGAGACGTCTATGTCGGTGTGTCTACACTTACTGGTGACATCTATGTCGGTGTGTCTACACTTACTGGAGACATATATGTCGGTGTGTCTACAGTTACTGGAGACGTCTATGTCGGTGTGTCTACAGTTACTGGAGACGTCTATGTCGGTGTGTCTACACTTACTGGTGACGTCTATGTCGGTGTGTCTACAGTTACTGGTGACGTCTATGTCGGTGTGTCTAAACTTACTGGAGACGTCTATGTCGGTGTGTCTACAGTTACTGGTGACGTCTATGTCGGTGTGTCTACAGTTACTGGAGACGTCTATGTCGGTGTGTCTACAGTTACTGGTGACGTCTATGTCGGTGTGTCTACACTTACTGGAGACGTCTATGTCGGTGTGTCTACACTTACTGGAGACGTCTATGTCGGTGTGTCTACACTTACTGGAGACGTCTATGTCGGTGTGTCTACAGTTACTGGTGACGTCTATGTCGGTGTGTCTACAGTTACTGGAGACGTCTATGTCGGTGTTTCTACACTTACTGGTGACGTCTATGTCGGTGTGTCTACACTTACTGGAGACGTCTATGTCGGTGTGTCTACACTTACTGGAGACGTCTATGTCGGTGTGTCTACAGTTACTGGAGACGTCTATGTCGGTGTGTCTACACTTACTGAGGACGTCTATGTCGGTGTGTCTTCAATTACTGGAGACGTCTATGTCGGTGTGTCTACACTTACTGGAGACGTCTATGTCGGTGTGTCTACACTTACTGGAGACATATATGTCGGTGTGTCTACACTTACTGGAGACGTCTATGTCGGTGTGTCTTCAATTACTGGTGACATATATGTCGGTGTGTCTACAGTTACTGGAGACGTCTATGTCGGTGTGTCTACACTTACTGGAGACGTCTATGTCGGTGTGTCTTCAATTACTGGAGACGTCTATGTCGGTGTGTCTACACTTACTGGAGACGTCTATGTCGGTGTGTCTACACTTACTGGTGACGTCTATGTCGGTGTGTTTTCAATTACTGGAGACGTCTATGTCGGTGTGTCTACACTTACTGGTGACGTCTATGTCGGTGTGTCTACAGTTACTGGTGACGTCTATGTCGGTGTGTCTACACTTACTGGTGACGTCTATGTCGGTGTGTCTACACTTACTGGTGACGTCTATGTCGGTGTGTCTACACTTACTGGTGACGTCTATGTCGGTGTGTCTACAGTTACTGGTGACGTCTATGTCGGTGTGTCTACACTTACTGGTGACGTCTATGTCGGTGTGTCTACAGTTACTGGTGACGTCTATGTCGGTGTGTCTACACTTACTGGTGACGTCTATGTCGGTGTGTCTACACTTACTGGTGACGTCTATGTCGGTGTGTCTACAGTTACTGGTGACGTCTATGTCGGTGTGTCTACAGTTACTGGAGACGTCTATGTCGGTGTGTCTACACTTACTGGAGACATCTATGTCGGTGTGTCTACACTTACTGGTGACGTCTATGTCGGTGTGTCTACAGTTACTGGAGACGTCTATGTCGGTGTGTCTACACTTACTGGTGACATCTATGTCGGTGTGTCTACAGTTACTGGTGACGTCTATGTCGGTGTGTCTACACTTACTGGTGACGTCTATGTCGGTGTGTCTACACTTACTGGTGACGTCTATGTCGGTGTGTCTACACTTACTGGTGACGTCTATGTCGGTGTGTCTACAGTTACTGGTGACGTCTATGTCGGTGTGTCTACAGTTACTGGTGACGTCTATGTCGGTGTGTCTACAGTTACTGGTGACGTCTATGTCGGTGTGTCTACACTTACTGGTGACGTCTATGTCGGTGTGTCTACACTTACTGGTGACGTCTATGTCGGTGTGTCTACAGTTACTGGAGACGTCTATGTCGGTGTGTCTACAGTTACTGGAGACGTCTATGTCGGTGTGTCTACACTTACTGGAGACATCTATGTCGGTGTGTCTACACTTACTGGAGACGTCTATGTCGGTGTGTCTACACTTACTGGAGACATCTATGTCGGTGTGTCTACACTTACTGGTGACGTCTATGTCGGTGTGTCTACAGTTACTGGTGACGTCTATGTCGATGTGTCTTCAATTACTGGAGACATCTATGTCGGTGTGTCTACACTTACTGGTAACGTCTATGTCGGTGTGTCTACACTTACTGGTGACGTCTATGTCGGTGTGTCTACACTTACTGGTGACGTCTATGTCGGTGTGTCTACAGTTACTGGTGACGTCTATGTCGGTGTGTCTACACTTACTGGTGACGTCTATGTCGGTGTGTCTACAGTTACTGGTGACGTCTATGTCGGTGTGTCTACAGTTACTGGAGACGTCTATGTCGGTGTGTCTACACTTACTGGAGACATCTATGTCGGTGTGTCTACACTTACTGGTGACATCTATGTCGGTGTGTCTACACTTACTGGTGACATCTATGTCGGTGTGTCTACACTTACTGGTGACGTCTATGTCGGTGTGTCTACAGTTACTGGTGACGTCTATGTCGGTGTGTCTACAGTTACTGGTGACATCTATGTCGGTGTGTCTACAGTTACTGGAGACGTCTATGTCGGTGTGTCTACAGTTACTGGTGACGTCTATGTCGGTGTGTCTACACTTACTGGTGACATCTATGTCGGTGTGTCTACAGTTACTGGTGACGTCTATGTTGGTGTGTCTACAGTTACTGGTGACGTCTATGTCGGTGTGTCTACAGTTACTGGTGACGTCTATGTCGGTGTGTCTACACTTACTGGTGACATCTATGTCGGTGTGTCTACAGTTACTGGTGACATCTATGTCGGTGTGTCTACACTTACTGGTGACGTCTATGTCGGTGTGTCTACACTTACTGGTGACGTCTATGTCGGTGTGTCTACACTTACTGGTGACGTCTATGTCGGTGTGTCTACACTTACTGGTGACATCTATGTCGGTGTGTCTACAGTTACTGGTGACGTCTATGTCGGTGTGTCTACAGTTACTGGTGACATCTATGTCGGTGTGTCTACAGTTACTGGAGACGTCTATGTCGGTGTGTCTACACTTACTGGTGACGTCTATGTCGGTGTGTCTACACTTACTGGTGGCATCTATGTCGGTGTGTCTACAGTTACTGGTGACGTCTATGTTGGTGTGTCTACAGTTACTGGTGACGTCTATGTCGGTGTGTCTACAGTTACTGGTGACGTCTATGTCGGTGTGTCTACACTTACTGGTGACATCTATGTCGGTGTGTCTACAGTTACTGGAGACGTCTATGTCGGTGTGTCTACACTTACTGGTGACGTCTATGTCGGTGTGTCTACAGTTACTGGTGACGTCTATGTCGGTGTGTCTACACTTACTGGTGACGTCTATGTCGGTGTGTCTACACTTACTGGTGACGTCTATGTCGGTGTGTCTACACTTACTTGTGACATCTATGTCGGTGTGTCTACAGTTACTGGAGACGTCTATGTCGGTGTGTCTACACTTACTGGTGACGTCTATGTCGGTGTGTCTACACTTACTGGAGACGTCTATGTCGGTGTGTCTACACTTACTGGTGACATCTATGTCGGTGTGTCTACAGTTACTGGAGACGTCTATGTCGGTGTGTCTACAGTTACTGGAGACGTCTATGTCGGTGTGTCTACACTTACTGGTGACATCTATGTCGGTGTGTCTACAGTTACTGGAGACGTCTATGTCGGTGTGTCTACAGTTACTGGTGACGTCTATGTCGGTGTGTCTACACTTACTGGTGACGTCTATGTCGGTGTGTCTACACTTACTGGAGACGTCTATGTCGGTGTGTCTACACTTACTGGTGACATCTATGTCGGTGTGTCTACAGTTACTGGAGACGTCTATGTCGGTGTGTCTACAGTTACTGGAGACGTCTATGTCGGTGTGTCTACACTTACTGGTGACGTCTATGTCGGTGTGTCTACAGTTACTGGTGACATCTATGTCGGTGTGTCTACACTTACTGGTGACGTCTATGTCGGTGTGTCTACACTTACTGGAGACGTCTATGTCGGTGTGTCTACAGTTACTGGAGACGTCTATGTCGGTGTGTCTACACTTACTGGTGACGTCTATGTCGGTGTGTCTACAGTTACTGGTGACGTCTATGTCGGTGTGTCTACACTTACTGGTGACGTCTATGTCGGTGTGTCTACAGTTACTGGAGACGTCTATGTCGGTGTGTCTACACTTACTGGTGACGTCTATGTCGGTGTGTCTACAGTTACTGGTGACATCTATGTCGGTGTGTCTACACTTACTGGTGACGTCTATGTCGGTGTGTCTACACTTACTGGAGACATATATGCCTTTACACACATGGCGTTCTTCTGCTAAAGCTTTAAGTAGTTAATCTGTATGGAGAAGGATTATTCATCTATTAATTTGATTCCCTGGCCCCATGGCCTGAGATGTTAGACTGGTTTAGTTAGTCGGACATTCCTACATCGATCGTGGGGAGTTCCAGGACACAACCCGGCCTTTGTTCAATGACTTCTCTCTGCGTCAACCTGACCGAGGCCGTTCTAGGAAAGGAAGCGAATGGGCCCCATTACCCCACCCCTCCTCTCACCCCTCCGACCAGACAGCCGGACCCGTTGTATTTCAGTCCGACTTATATCATTGGGCGCAGTGTTGCTTTATATTGCTAACACAACAAACAAAGTAATATAAACTGTATTTCCGTTGTCTGAATCTACATGACATTATCTGGAAAATTATTTGAATTTATTCATTTCAGAATTTTCGAACTCTGGACGTCCTTCTTTCCAAAACACCTGCAAATATTATTCTGTAATTTATTTATTTGATATCGTGTCTCGCCACTTATCGGTCCAGCAAATGTCAGGCTCGCCCTTGTGGGGTCGCAATACTACGTAGTCATAGATATAAAAGGCGTAATTAAATCATTGTCAACGTGTGATTCCATCTGCACAGACCCAATACTGAAGCAGACGGACGTTCATCTGACGAGGTTGGAGCGCGTATGTATTGTCCACATAATCCTATTTGTCGAACATTCAACAACTTTGCCATGATTCTTCAATGATTATGTGTGCGCGTGTGACAATATGGCCGCCTACACGTGTGTCCAGCTCTGTTCCCATGGCGTCCTTTCGGTGACAAAAGAGTTCTGTGAATGTGGTCAGTTGCTGGTTGGTGCCCATAACAGTCCACTCAAAGTCATCACAGTAAAATCAAAGGAAAAATTAGAAAATCGTCAATTTGTTTTAAGCCAGTGATGAGTAACCAAACATGTTATACTACCAAACGAAAGTTAAGGACCAACCGATTCCTTTATGTAACTATAGTGACTCTGTCGTGGCATGATGGGCTAACTCGATGGTATTATGAGGGACACGGATGGTCCTTAACTTTGTTTTCAATAGTATATTATGTGGACTCATAAAAATTATGTATTTTTTTAATTCTTAGTTTGAAAGATCAAAGGAATCCACTGTCAAGCTGTTGCATCTCCCAGCCAGACCCCCTTCCCTGACCCCCTCCCCCGACCCCCTTCCCCGACCCCCTTCCCTGACCCCCTTCCCTCCCCTGACCCCCTCCCCTGACCCCCTTCCCTTCCCTGACCCCCTTCCCTGACCCCCTTCCCCGACCCCCTTCCCCGACCCCCTTCCCCGACCCCCTCCCCCGACCCCCTTCCCTCCCCTGACCCCCTTCCCCGACCCCTCCCCTGACCCCCTCCCCCGACCCCCTTCCCCGACCCCCTCCCCCGACCCCCTTCCCCGACCCCCTCCCCCGACCCCCTTCCCCGACCCCGACCCCCTTCCCCGACCCCCTTCCCCGACCCCCTTCCCTGACCCCTGCGTTTGACCAGCTGTGCCCGGTGATGATCGAGCGCCGCATATGACCCCTGTCCGCTGGCAGCCGTGAGATATGACCGACGGTCATTCCTGCCTGTCTCATAATGTTCAATGTTACTCGCCACCACTCGGTCAGTTAGGTCACGCTGACCCAAGCATCAGAGCGGAGCTATCTCTATTAGCACCCTTGTGATCGTCTTATTCTAACTGGACAATTATTTGGCGGGTTAGTATCTCTTGGTGTTACGCAATCCTCATCTTAGAGTTAGCCGGACACAGAGATGGCCATTGGATTACCACAGTGAGAGAGAGAGAGAGAGAGCTATTAATAGCGACTGGCCAGTACTACGTCACGGCAGCTCTTTATGCAGCCATTGTGCAAGCGGGTCACTCCGAGTTCACGCATTCGCAAACACTGTATAAGCATTGGTCACTGACAGCGCGTCAGTTTGGCTGACCAGTGTTGGAGTGGAGAGATCCGGGACAGCGTCCGTCTGCCGCTACAGCTTGGATACTGTTAGATTGTGTTCTACCTGGATAGCTACCCCTTTCCCCTTGCACTCGGATACCTCGGCACCGCACACATTAATAGTAAGTATTAGAACGGCAGCATAGGTCAGCGTGACATGGCACTGGACACGACTGTACTTGACCAATGTGGAATCCGGTCCCCAGTGGTCAGTATCCAGACAGTGCGAGCTTTGGTAGTGGAGATCACTGTGTGGTAAGCGGAGTCGTGGACGCAGCCCCGGAACTGTACGTGCCACACCTACCTGATCCAACACCACCCTCAGAGCAGTTCTGGAAGGTAACATGTGAATGCGTGTCTCTGTTGGAGCTTACCGTTTACCAGGCAAGGCCGCACTGGAGCCTATATGGAGCCTATATGGAGCCGATATGGAGCCGTAATGCATCATCGATCAACACAGTAACGTGGACGTGCGATTCAAATGCAGAAATAGTCATGGGACTTATGTTTTGCTAGACATTCATGTGTTTCGCTAGACGTTCGTGTGTTTCCTAGACATTCATGTGTTTCCCATCGGCCACATATTATGCAATATATTCTTCCGCCTGTTACACAATCCCGGAATCTATGTTGATGTTTCTGTTCTTATTTAAACATATATATCTAGAGTCTCTATGCTCTTTACAAAGTTACTTTACTGTGTCATTTATAAACCACAATTGTTATGTATTTCGTATATTTATTCGTGGTTTATAACACCCGCCTGTAATCGTCCCGATCTGTTTAAGTACACTATTAATTTTTTAAATGATTTAAGATATGACTAGAAGGATGCGTTAATTGAGATTCTCTAAGACATTCAGAACTGATCTATTGAGTAATGGGTAACCAAGCTGATCCTCACAGCCCTGTCTTGTTGACCTATCTCCCAACTGTGGAGTCTAGCATAGAACCGTTATGTCGCCTCCTTGCGCTCCCCCCACCCTTGACGGACAATCGTAACCCTCTACACCATGTATATTACAGTTTGTTTATTCAATTTCTTAATTTATCATTTTGGTGAAACTTTCCGCAACTCTTACCGAAGTCTTTAGTCGGGAGGTAAGATAGCAGAGCAATATACCACGTCTCAACAAAGAAAGGTTTGTTATAAATTATAAGAATAATTGTGGAAATTAAAATTTCGAGGCTACCAATATATTTCTTCATTGCTGGCCTGTGTTCTAGGTTTATCTTTAAGTGGCATTAAGCTGTATTATTAATCAAGAGAGTTAACATGGATACACCTTTTGACGTTCATGTTGATCACACCGACTGAAGCCCCCAGCTCAGCTAATTCTTCTTTAATGTAATGACCAGACTTGACCGCTCTTCAGCCAATGACTAGAAAAACATCCTGACCACCACTACGTCACACGCACCGAAATGTCGCATTGAAAGAATTTAGAAGTGGAAACATGTGACTGTTTTCGAGGTAGTTAAATGATAAGAACATATAGTACTCAAATTAAGTTACAGAGCACCCGATTCTTTCATATGACTATGGTTAATTTGCCTTGGTAGGAATGATTATGCATGTGTATGCGTGTATCTGATGGTGTTAACACTTTATGTGATTATGTTAACGTTTATATCTGATGATGTTAACGCTTTGTTTCTTTATTATTTCAGTACATGAGCCATGGCCGACACAGCCCTCGACCTGAGCAAACCGTCCCTGCCTCCACCCACAGAGCGCGTGGCCCCCCTCCCCCCCTCCCTGCCGTCCCTGCCCCCCGACATCAGCAGCGACTCCGGCCGGGCGTCTACGTCTTCCACCAGCTCCAATGACGAGCTACGCCAACATCTTCCCGACCCCGAGCCCAAGGGCCGGGAAAGTCCCGTTGATGTGAAACCCCCGCTGATGTCCCCGTCTCCGTCGGTGGACAGCGCCAGTATGTCTGAGGACGACGACCTTGACAAGTCAGACAGAGTTGCTCCAATCCGGCCATTCAAGATGTACCCGATGGACGCCTACTCCATGTCGGGTAGCCCCATGGCTGGGATGTCGGGGATGGGAGGCCTCAGCCCAACTACCGCCGCCGCTGCCGCTGCCGCCGCCGGTCTCAGCCCCTCCCTCGGTGTGCCGTCCATGATGGACCCGTCATCTGTGTCGCCCTTTGCTATGACGCCGATGACGTCACACTTGCTACAACGGAAACGAAGGGCAGAGAACCGCATACAGATTCTGGAAGATGCAAAGAAAACAATACCGGTACCGGAAGAGCGAAAGGATGATGCATACTGGGAGCGGCGGCGGAAGAACAACGAGGCTGCCAAGCGGTCACGTGATGCACGGCGGATGAAGGAGGAAGAAATTGCAATGAGAGCTGCCTACCTCGAACAGGAAAATCTCAAACTCAGGGCGCAGGTTGCCATCTTAAAGAACGAGACAGCAAAACTGCACTATATGTTATACAACAGAATGTGATGCGGGAAACTAAGGACTTCCGCTATCTCAGGGAAACAAACTGTCACGCCCCGCGCCAAGCACGATAGTGATGCCCATGGGCCACGCCCTGCACGTGAAAGAGACACGCAAAGGCAGGGGGCGGAGACACCACCGAGTGAGTGAGTGAGTGAACGCGTCCAGCGCGGATGTGTGCCGGTGACTAGAACACGAATCTCAAGTCACGTGACACAGTGCACGTGCATATGTGTGTATATTTTTGTACAGACTCATGTTTCTAGATCAGCGACTCAGGTTGTGGCGGTGCTGTCTGGCGGTGGAGAGGCCGCCGTGCCGGCTGCTGTGACTAAACACTACTACCTCATGGATAAGCTTGAAGCCCCTCTCTCGAGGCATTCTGTTATGTTTCGTATTCTTTCTAGCTAGGTACAAACTGTTTTTACTTGGAAAATGTGATGAAGATTATATTTACATGAGTGTAAGTGCTATCATTAGATGATACTGTCGACGATGACGTCCCAGAGCGGACGTAGATATGGTTGTCGCAGGAGCGAGTTCTATCTATACAGCGTGTAAGTGCTATCATAGGCCCGGCAGACATAGTAGCTAGACTAGAAGCCCAGATGTTTCTCTCTTATATATCATTATTACTATTTTTATTGCTATTATTATTATTTGGATTATATATTGTCGCTGCTTCTCCCTCCATCAGCCTGTGCATTACTTGGTGCAGCTGCACTGTGAGCTGACCAAGGCAGAGTATTTTGTCATCTACACATTTGTATGAATAAACAATACAGAAAGACCCACCTGTTCCTTTGTGTTTACCTACAGTCCGGAGATAAACATTTTCTTTTCAGATTTGCGGGTTTTTTTATTATTCGATACCCGGGCATATTTTGCTGAACCGGATATTTCCAATGTTAAAATTTCAATAACACTGCGTAACTGAACACACAATGGACGATACTGTAAAATAACAATGCTTTTTAGTCAATCGGATTCCGGTACACACATTGGTTGTAAGTCTGGGTTTATGCCATGTGCACCCAAGAGACAGTGGCTGCGTTAACAGGTGTACATGCAGCTGTAGAGCGATCTTACTCTGTGACCGCGGGTACAGCAGAAGTGACTGCGAGGTAGATGCACGCACGCACACACGCATCCAGACACACACACACACACACACACACACACGCACGCACGCACGCACGCACACAAACACACACGAAGCGTTAAGAACGTTTGGCGCAAGTGGACCTTCACTGGAGTGGCTAAAGGACCGACCATTGGAACTTTGGGTGGTGGGTGCTGGGATAGTGTATCGAGATAGGATATTTATTTCAGCTACAGCTACAAAACCAGATATGTTTTATTTAAAGCTTGATTTATTTTAAAAAATAAACACAATGTACTTTTTGTGTCAGGAAATTTCTTTTTTTTCAACGGTACGAAGCATAATTATTTATTGCAAGAATATAATCCCAGCCTACCTCCCCCCCGACCCCCGAATATCAAATGGTCGGTCTCTAACGTCACATCTCCACCCCCGACCCCCGAATATCAAATGGTCGGTCCCTAACGTCACATCTCCACCCCCGACCCCCGAATATCAAATGGTCGGTCCCTAACGTCACATCTCCGCACCCTGGGTCGTGCTTCCTGAGCGCAACAGTAAGGATACTTTTACCATTCTCTTCAGCTGAAGACTTTATCTCCTACAAGTATCGTTCCCAAACTCAGTAATTTAAACTAAGAGTAAGACCCACATGTCCCATGGCGGATCTACATGTGTCGTCTGCCACAACTAACTTCAAAGGCTGGTTTTAAGTCAATGGTTGGCTGTACCCTCGATACTGTCCTGAGTCTAACTTCCACAGGTACGCGTTGAACTTGTTATCGGTTGATTCACTTATTTCTTATGGAAGAGAATTTATTGATGTCAACTTCTTTATTATGAGGAACACAACGTTTTGGAGTATATGCTTACTCCTTCATCGAGTGAAGGAACAGTGAGTGTAAATGAGAAACGTTAGCAATTATCAACTGAAATAATGATTCATAGTTCCATGACTGTAAGTGTGAACGTCGGGGTTGCCAGCGTCGCCAGGCAATAGGTTGCCATGCACTGATTCGGCACTGTCTGTGACAAACATCGCCGTGGGGGTAAGTGACAGCTCAGAGTTCCATGTGTATCTTAATTGTTGGATCACCACACGTGTTAACTGACTTAGTGAAGTACACCACAGTCATGCGCACTGATGACTTTCAATTACATCACTACCACGGGATGATTGAGGACCGCGTGACCTGAACGTTTCTCTTGGGTGTAAACAAACGCGCTTATTATGAAATCAGAGCAGCCCGGCCTAACGGAAGCCTTCCAGGGCGGTTTATAGATTGTTTTGCGTAAATATTAAAATATCCCCACTGTGACAGTGAAGAGTGTGACAACATATCTTTACACATCGTGATCCGTAGGGTTTCGGTGCCGTACAACCATTGTAAACAAAGGATAAATGCGCACAAGGAAATAGTTTTTCACATTTTAGGATATTTCATCAAGAGCGTAAACGATTTCATGACATATGTACATCTATATGTGGCTACGAGGCTACTGACCGCAAGGACCACAGTGTTGGGGCGTGAGTGTGACGTCATCCCAGTCTGTCCTGTGATATGTGAAGACAAGCATAAGTGTGACGTCACAACAGTCTGCCCTGTGCGATAAAATGAGACGCGTGTAACGTCATATACAGATTGTCCTAAGATAGATGCAGATACCAAAGTCTATATTCCTCATATTCAATCCTTTACTTCATCCTGTCTTTGAAGTATTTTCACAATACATCTTCAACACCAAGAATCAACACGATAACCACGAGCACACTAATTCACGTAAACAAGACTGAGTTATATGAAAGTTCACATGCGCCGTGCCAGGCGTGTTGAAGAATGTCTGACCTCACTGTGACCACGCAAGGTCCAAACATCCTCCACATTTAAACCGCCCGCTAGCAGCAAGACAGGAGATACTCCACTGGCAACAGGCGTGACGTCACTGTGTATGTTGCACCCCTGTAGCTCACCTGGCCACGTCTGTTTGTGCTATCCCTGAAGCTCACCTTAAACGTGTGTTTGTTTCATGGCTATAGACTTCACACGTTTCTCCGTATATACCAAATAGGAGACCTACACCAATAGGGAACCTACACCAATCGGGAACCTACACCAATAGGGAACCTACACCAATAGGGGACCTAGGCCAATAGGGGACATACACCAATAGGGGACCTAGGCCAATAGGGGACATACACCAATAGGGGACCTACGCCAATAGGGGACCTACACCGATAGGAGACCTACACCAAAGTGGACCTACACCAAAGTGGACCTACGCCAATAGGGGACCTACACCAATAGGGGACCTACGCCAATAGGGGACCTACACCAATAGGGGACCTACACCAATAGGGGACCTAGGCCAATAGGGGACCTACGCCAATAGGGGACCTACACCAATAGGGGACCTACACCAATAGGGGACCTAGGCCAATAGGGGACCTACACCAATAGGGGACCTAGGCCAATAGGGGACATACACCAATAGGGGACCTAGGCCAATAGGGGACCTACACCGATAGGGGACCTACGCCAATAGGGGACCTAGGCCAATAGGGGACATACACCAATAGGGGACCTACACCAATAGGGGACCTACACCAATAGGGGACCTAGGCCAATAGGGGACCTACGCCAATAGGGGACCTACACCAATAGGGGACCTAGGCCAATAGGGGACCTACACCAATAGGGGACCTACACCAATAGGGGACCTAGGCCAATAGGGGACATACACCAATAGGGGACCTAGGCCAATAGGGGACATACACCGATAGGGGACCTACACAGATAGGAGACCTACACCAATAGTGGACCTACATCAATAGGGGACCTACACCAATAGGGAACCTACGCCAATAGGGGACCTACGCCGATAGGGGACCTACACCGATAGGGGACATACACCGATAGGGGACCTACACCGCATTATACCACATGGGTAGGATGACGTCATAGAGAACAGTCAAAATATCACCTCTGTCGACAGGTCACCTTACTGCCCATCATGCTGTGAAAGATTCGAACATTGATATCGATTTCCATGCACAGAGATGACGACTACTTTTACAGTTCTGTTTATTCCAGTAAAATCTTGTTTGAAAAAAAGCAATTATTCAGAAACATGTTCACAAGTATTATGGGAGCCACCCCACCTTGCACATGTTTCACGTTCTCCATCGAGAACATGGCGTGTGTGTGGAAACGGGGAACAGTCAGTGTCAAACTCATCATACTTAGAAATACAACGCAATGGCAGCATTGGCACACATGTAGAACTAATGGACCAATCCTCCTGTTGACGTCCCTAGTAACCATATGACATCACAAGCGGTAGTTTATCACGGCAGTAGGCTGACGTCATGGAAGGTCTAACCGAAGCAGTGCAGAGTTGAGGAAATAATACAATCAGTCCTGTCACGTCCTTGTGATTGAACACCTTTGAAACTCGATGACAAAAGACGAAATTCAGACAAAGAGATGGGTCCAATGGATAAGCGTTTTAAAGTGAGTTTGAACTCACTTCTTTTGCTGAAGAGATGCAAATGGTTAGAAGAAGAAGAAGAAGAAGAAGAAGAAGAAGAAGAAGAAGAGTTATTGTACATAAATACCCACAGGGGACAGGGTACAAATGACCACGAGTAGCTACTTTTGATATATAGAATGTAACGTAAATGTTGATATTTAAGGTCTAGAGAGGAGATACAAATTTTCTGTGCAGGAACATTTTGTAAATGACAGAAGAGATTTTTTTGCAGAATGCTCTTGCGGATTTAGTAGTATGGTATTGCGCCCATAGCCATGAAGGTAGGCAGTGTGATGTGGCTGCTGCATTGGACGTAGACAAAGATATAGTCTAGGCAGTTATTACACAACACATGTCCCTCCACTAAATGTGTTTCTTCTTGTGATTGCATAGTCTATGAAATATTTTACTACGCAATACACTTCTATAATCTAATTGTTTTTTCCTGATTTGAATAGAGCTGGCTGGACTTGCTTTTTAGTATTCTACATTGGTTATGTTTTATTAAACACATATATTCCGCAGACGTGGTGCAGTACTACAGGGGATGATGTGCCTCTCTGACCGCTGTGTGGAATACCATGGGGAGAGAGGCTGTTGCTATGGTGGGCTTGCCTGGTCAACAGGACTGGTCAGCTGCCGAGCCAGCGAGCGGCCTTCGCTCTCCGACCAGGCCTGTACAACACCACACAAGTCATAGTTAGGTCATCGAGCGGTCAGCGCGTGAATAAAACACACACCTTGTTCTGCAACCCGAGACGCTGACCGGTCACGTGGTCCGGGCTATTCCGACGGATAAAAGAAGTGGAGTTTAAGATGAGGTCATTGAAACGGCAACATGTGTGTAACTGACCCGTCTCGCATGTACACGTGATGCTTGCGGCAACAGTTCCCCACCCCCCAGTCTTATCTTCCTCCCTCCCTTCCCCTCCCCGGTCCACTCTCTCTCCCCCGACCGTCCCTCACCCCCACTCTGATAAACATGCCCCTTGTTCACATGTCTGATGAACATCTCAGGTCAGTCTTACACCCGCCCCGGTGAAGGCTTACCAATGAAAACTAACAGACTGCAACAAAAAATGGTCTACGTCTTCAATACACAAGGAATCGGCAACATAAAACAACGAGAACGTAACCAAAAACTGAGAAACAGCCTC